GAAAGAAGAAGTTACGTCCATTCTGCCTCTTCATGCTTCGTTCCATCAGCCTCCATGTTTGTTTCTCCTCCGCATCCTCCGTTAAAGTCTTGTTGAAGTTCTTCACGCGTCGGAGCACCAAACGCCGCCGTGTTTCGTATTAAACATCATCCGTAGTTGCAGACAGCTCCACAAGTGAGTCTCAATGAAATAAATTAGGTACTGTTCACTTGAGGTATAAAACAAAACGAAATAAAATAGACCATGTGTGACTAACTGTACCATCCAGGAAGTCAGTGTAAACTTCCCAGATGGTCCATAAAAGAGTGTAATCATCACAAACTGAGGCAGAATACCACTTCAAACAAATCAATCAATTCACAGCAAAAAAAAAAAAGACTGAAAACCACAAAATAGAAATACACAAGCAGGATGGCTGCTCCATCACTGTGTCACAGCAGAAAGACACAAGAAAAGCAAACATAACATAATAACACATACTAGTGACTTATTAACAAGTCTACCAGGTAAGAGCCTCTTCTCCTCTGTCTCCTCTCACAGGGAGGAGATGATCTGCAGCATCCTGGTGATCTTCATCCTGACCTCCTGTGTCTGTGGTCGGTTCACTTTTGTGTTTGTGAAGCAGCTGTGAAGCATCAGCACACTGAAAAAAGCGTAACAAAGCTGTTGTTCATTTAATGTGTTTTTTTTCATTCCAATGAATAAAAAAAATTACTTTGCTCTATTAAACTAAACCTTTTTATTTATGGGTTAGGGTTTAATCGAATATTTTACTTTACTACAATGTAAACTGACAGTAAGGCACCAAACTGATTTTTTTTATTTTAATCAAAGCATTTTTATTAGATTGAGTGATTCGCGCATGCGCATTTTTTTAAAAGTTCTGGCGGAAACTTATTTCCACCTCAATCTTCCATTGCAGAGGACGTTGTGAAAAATATCAGACCCCACGGCATTTTGGTAACGTTAAGGTAAGTCATTACGGTTTTTAAAGATGACTGGGCGAAAATGTTAGCCCGCAGACAAAGTGTCTGTCTTAAGTGTCTTAAGTGTTTGCTTTTGTGGGCAATTAATCGTTCGGCTAGGGTTGGCGCTGGGGGGAGGGGGTTCGCCGTTCGGGAGGGAGGCGGGTGAGGTGGGAGCAGATGGCGGCAGTGTTCCAGTCGACGTTTACATTCTGAAAAGCGTATATACGGCGTTAGCGCGTAGCTAACTACCTAGCTAAAACTATACATGGCGTTAGCACGTGGCTAACTAGCTAGCTAACACTATACACGGCGTTAGCATCGTAGCTAACTATCTAGCTAACACTATACATGGCGTTAGCACGTGGCTAACTAGCTAGCTAACACTATATACGGCGTTAGCACGTGTTATTGCTTACTGTGCTGTATTTTCTCGTTTTGGTAAAGCTAAACTGACCTGTGTAATAATGAAGCAACTTAAATAATGTTTTGTCAGGTATTTTATTCCATAGGCATAGTAAATCCGATTTAAAAAGAACAGAAGGCATAATAATGTTTTGTCATTTTTAAACTGTATTATGTAGTTCATGTAACATTGAGAATATCCATCATTAAAACGTTTTTTTCTCTTAATTTAAGGAGAGCTGCCACAAGATCCACTGTGTTCCTGCTGTGCAACCACCAGTTTGGAAGTCCCTCATCTTATTGTAGTAAGTTCTGAGTACAATATCATGAGTGTATTTGTGATAATTAGATCACTCTCCTAAAACCGTCCTTTCCTCTGCCTTTTTATTTTTCCTCAGTTATCCATGTATGTGGAAATGTAAACTACAGAAAAACAACAACCGTCAAACAATAAAAGAAAAGATGGCAAAGACGTTTGGATACCGTAGACAAGAAATAGTGCATAAGCATTGAAGACATGTTGACAAGATGGCCAGCACTTTTTCAGATGGAAGAGGTATGTTTTCAGATGCAAGGCACTGTAAGCCTATTTTTGAGAGGAGAGGGACTTAATAATTTGTTAATGCCAATGGTGTTCATGAGCATTCATGAAAGATGATTTTTTTTAACCTTAAAAACTTAGGTCTTTTCAGAGGAGAATTTATTTAATACACTTTTTAAAAGTTCTTTCTGCGTGCTCTGTTATTGTTTCTCCAGATTAATGCTGAGTTCATGCGGGTGACAACAGTACCCTTGGAGACAAAGTTCTTAGCGCAGTTGGACAAGCACACGTCAAAACTGCTGGAGGTCATCAGGAGCAAGGGAGGGCGTGTGAAAGAGCTGACCAAGGCAACTTTGCAGGTTTTAGATGAGGTATCTATTTCTGACTGTATTACATTGCATTTTCAAATGGTCACTGTTCAGTGAGAAAAATGTTCCCAAATGCTGTTGGTTTACTTGAAAATGCATGTCTTCATTACTGTTTGTGTTTGAGATGTGATGGTTGAGAAGCACTGGTTTATGTTAATACAATGAGATGTTGCTGTTGTATTTGAGGCGAAAAGACATCATTGAGAAGGACTGTTTTTAAGGTGGGACTATGTTGAAAAAAATGTTAATTCAACAATAAATGTGTTGAAAAGGAATGGCTTCTGAG